TCCTTACCTCTGGGCCCCAAGCGCCGCCGCCGCCGGTGAGAGGTGGGGCCATCTCTGCAGAGTGCCACAGCTAGTGAGGGGCAGGCCCAGTTCTGCACAGCCCCTGAACATTGACATGGTTCCTAGCAGCTGCCCCAACGTGGGGCATCTCCATGTTCTCTCGTGGTAATATGAACCATGGACATCGACACTGAGCCCTGCCACAGAGCCAGGAACCCAGATAAGGCCCTCAGTGGCAGCTTGGGCTGGAACTGCACCATGACACCAGGTAGCAGGGCTGGCCACTCAAGCCACTCCTGTCTACTCTGTAGACTCCAGTTCTATGTCTCTTCACAATGCTCAAGCTGCTCTACTTCTTTTTCTCTCCCATCTGTCCACTACATGCTCATGCTTTGGCTACAGCCTGGCCATGTAGCTGTCAGGCTCCTGGGTAACATCCTCCAATAAGTGAGTGTCTATGGCCCACCTGTGCCAATCTTCCCCTGCCAGCACCAAGTGGCATGGCAAAATGCAGGTCTCTTCCTGTCTTCCTCTTCCCAGGCTGTGCTGCCTGAATTTGGTTTGATTTTTATGTGTCCAATGCATAACACAGCTTTGGCCACCAAGCCAGTTATCAAGCTAGGATGACCAAAGCACTGCCATCTGCTCTGCTCCCGACTGATGTCCAGGAAGTTCTCCCCAGAAGCAGCAGCATGAGCTGCAGCTGATGCCTGAGCAGTGCTGGGAAAAACCCCAGGCTGCTATGCTCTGAGGCTCGGCCTCACCTGTTCGGGACCCATTTCCCTCAGCAGCCCTGGGAAGCTGTTTGTGTGGAGCGCCTGAGGCTGTGGAAACTGCTTATCCCTGCCTTTCCCACTTGAGACGACCGAGGCTCTATGCCTGGATTCTATGCCCCATGTTGAGCACCAAATAAAGCAATAACTATTTTTTTGGGGGGGGGGGGCGCTATGCATCCCTTGGCTCCTCAATAACTATTTGTTTTCTACCCCACTTTAGACCATTTAGTTCCAAAATAAAGGACACAGAGACCTTTTAGATTTATAATAAGCTCTAAGACACAAAAACTGGGCAGGTATCAACCCTATAAGCTATTTTGTTATTTTCTAGCTACCCACCTGCCTGGGCTGCTTCTGTTCCATTAGGCCAGCCCTCATAGCCATGTGCTCCTAGTCCATACTACCCATGTCAGCTTCCTTCTCTCTGGCTTCCTCTCTTTCTTCTCTCTCCCGCCTTGTGGTCCTCATCTAACCCCAAGCTTGAGAACCTAAGGTGAGTGCCTATTTCTCACCTGTCCATTAGTTTTTATTAATCAATCAAGCTTTAAAATTATGGAACAAGGTTTACACAACAAAGGACTGTGTATGTGAGAACGCACTTGTCTGGGCAGCAGCCAGATCTTGGGGCCAGTATTTATCATATGTGCATATAACACCAGACCAAACCCCACACGCATAAAAATCAGTAGTCTTTCTAAATACCAGTGACAAATGTGCTGAGACATAATCCCATTTACAATTACAACAAAAACATACTAGGACATGTCAGGGCACACCTCTGAGGGGCAGAGAAAGTGAGTTCTAGGTTATCTTGGTCTATATAGTGAGTTTCAGGCTAGCCACGACTACACATTGAAACCTACCGATCTTAAACACACACACATACACACAAATAAAACAACTTGGAACAACTATAACTAAGGAAGTAAAATACCTTTACAATTGAAACTATTAAAGCACTCAAGAAATAGTTTGAAGACACTAGAAGATGAGAAGATTGCCCATGGTCATGAACTAAAAAACAAAACAAAACAAAAAACAATTAAAATGTCTACACTACCAAAAGTAACCTACCGATTCACCCAGTTCCTATCAAATATTCTGCACTGAAATAGAAAAAAAAAATCACTGAATTTATATAAAAGCATAAAATGGCCCAGAGAGCAAAGAGGTTTTGATAAAAAATATTAGTGCTGGAAGTAACACCACACCTGGTAACACTGCTTTGCCATGGTCACAAACACCATGTACTGGTACAAAGCCATACATATACATCAATATTCAGAATACAGGCTCCAGATGGAATGCCATGTATGGCCAACTGGTCTTTACAAGAATGCCAGAAATGTACATTTGTGAAAGGCAGCCCCCCCCCCCCCCAGTACGGAGGAAATGTACACGGACGTGTGGAAGAGTGGAACCAGAGCCCCACAGCTCAGTGGATGAAATGGGACCTTGAAAAATCGACATTCTGGACAGGAAAGGAAACAGTCATTGAGCAAAAGGACACAGCCTAGAGAGCAGAGGGGTATCTTTATTAACTATACATTTGCAGAGGATTAATACTTACAATATAAAGAGAACTAAAAAAAAAAAAAAAAAAACAACTGAACAACAACAACAAAAAAATCAAAGAACCATTCAGTCAATGGGCTAGTGAGGCGAACAGACAGTTCTTGGAAGATGAAATACAAATGAGCAATAAGCATGAAAAAGATGGCCAACCCCTCTAACTAGTAGAGAAATTCAAGTTATGAATTGAGATTACATCCCACCTCAGGCAGAATGAAATAAAATAATAATAAATGGTGTTGTGGGCAAAATCAAACCCTTATACACTACTGGTAAGAATATGAACTAGTCCAGCTGTTGTGGGGTCTGTTTAAATCCAACACGACTCAAACACCAAGTCAACGCAGATGACAAAAATTTATTGTGGCACTACTGATCCAATCAGGACCGCTGAACAGACCCAGGAGCTGAACTTCGACCCTGAGCCAGAATGGTACAAAGCTTTGAAGCTTGAAAACCACAAACATCTGTGCCAAGTCACAGTTACATTTTCCCGCCAGTGAGGATTTAGGGATAGGGGTCTTCTTCAGGACCATGTCTCTTTGTACACTCCTCTAGTCCTGTTGGCTGGGTTGTTCAGTGGTGGCAGGGTGACTTACCTGCCATTCCTGTCTCACTGTGCCAACCAGGATGGCAGCTCACTTCTCTGCCAAGCAGGATGTCAGGTGCCCAGGGAGCTCTTGGGAACTTAAACTCTATTTAACTCCTATTAAAAATGAAAGTCTCGTTCAAAATGGCTTCAGTTTGGTTCCTTCTTATAACCACCCCCCTTGTCTTTCTACATTATTTTTAAAATCCTTGATTATTTGTTTCAGAGTATAAGGGATTATATTGAGTTCTTAGCTTAGATGAGTTAACTCTTGACTGAATAATTGTAACCAAAGCACTGGAAATGCAAAGCCCTGTGAGGAGCAAGAGGAAAGGAAGGCCAGTTGTCCTGTTAAAGCAGTGACCAAGGTGGTTGGTCAAGGAGACCAGTCTAAAAGACTCTGAAAGCAGTTGTTGGTCCCCTCTACCCCTTCCTGTCCAACAGGGTTTGCTTTATTTTTGCTAAGGTGTCTCAGACTACCCCAGAGGCATAAAAACAAAGAGGTTCTCCCAAAGGCAATTTACTTTTGACTTAGCATTTTCAGCCTGTTAAGGGAGCAGGGATGATATATTTCCTTCTGTAATTATTTCCAGCTAAAACTGGAGCATCAGTTGTCAGGACGCAGGAAGGCCGAAAATGCTAGTCAGTTTGGGCAATGGGGCATTTTTCAGAGGCATCTGATTAGCCTATCCAGCTGAACCATTACATCAGCAGGACTGGTTTCTGACAGCTTTCAGCAAGTCCAGAGCTCGGTTCGCAGTCCACACGTGCTCCCTGGATGGTGTCTATCAACCAAGTGGAAATCTCTTGAGACAAATATAGACAAAGGCACAAAAGTTAAAACTTCCTGGTAAATGGGGAGGGGAAGGAATCCCAAGATCAGGCAGGAATCCCATTCTCTCGAACAGACAGGTGCAGAAACTTAGGCTGTACTTACCTGGAGTCCGTTTGATCTGTAACAGCTGGATCCAAGTCTTAGGCATTCTTTCATTCTTTGAAGTTTACATGATTTTTAATTTACAAAAGCAGACATATTGGTATTACCACTGTATTGAAATCTGTATTGCAAAAAAGCAGTCAACAGGTGTCTAAAACAGCAGTAGATTCAAGTCTTTGAGTCCCACAAAAACATGTAAAAGGCTTACATGTATTGGACAGAGATGTTTTAGCCAAATGAAAAGCATCTTTAGGTTATATCTAGAAGATAAACAAAGAAAACTCAAAATCCTGAGCTTGTGAGAGAATACTAAGCAGTCAGTGGGGCCATCAAATCTTGAACTTCCAAAATCTCAGGGCAGTAACAGCACAGAGGGGAAAGAAATCGGAAACATTCCTTATCTCTATGTATTTGAATCACTTTAGAGATCCTTATACCTTGTATGGACTTTGAACCATTTTTTATTTCTCAGAGACATGAGTAGTTGTTATTGAGAACGGTCATTGTAAAGTATGTTCCTTTAGTGAAACCTGTTTATTCTTTAACGAAACTTGTGCGCGAGGTAAGCCTGTTTGCCTTTTCTTAACAAGAGACCAAGTAAGTAGCTTTAATTAACTAATGTACTAACTAATGAACTTACAAAGTGGACCTACTCAGTGGGTCTCAGGCAAAGCGTAATCAAACCAATTACATCTCGGGCTGCTCTTACTTCCATTCGGAACTTTAAAGCTTACTCTCGTCTGCACGCTCCAGCGACTAAGGTACAGGAAGAACCCGGAAGTACCTTTTGCCCTATGGAGGGCTCCGCCCCTTTAGCGCGCACCCCCGTGGAAATTCCCACAAACCTCGGGGCTCAGCTCCTAGATGGGCTCCCGCAAGTTGCGCGACGGCACCTCTCTGAAGGTACAAGGTTCTGGGGCTCCGCTAGCGAGGGCTGTGTTTCCCAGGGGACACTGCGCCGGAAGTAGCGGCTTTCGGTGTCCTGGTGCAGTTAATGCCAAGGGCGGATCTTTCTGGTAAAAGGCAGAAATTTCAGACTAGCTTCGCTCTCCACGGAGTGAGGCGGAGCCAGCGGGCTGGGCGTGGGCGTGGACGGTGGGGTGGGGCGGGCGGGTGTCGATTTTGTGTGTGTGTGTGTCTGTCTGTCTGTGTTTATCCCTGCATCACCTGTGTCACTGAGCGTGTCGCCTTCTGCTCCTGCTCTCACGGCCACAGGGGCGGAAGCAGAGGACCAGGCTTCGGGAAGGAGAGGTCGGGGACGGAGTCTGACGGAAGCTTCCCCTGAGGTACAGACTTGAGCGGGGGACGAGCCTCTGAGGCCGGAAGTGCCTGCGAGGGTCGCCTAGGAGGGCAGCTGCTTGCGGAGCGCCGAGGCCCTAGGAGAGCTCCAGGCGCTGAGGGGTTGTGGGGAGTGAGGGAGAGCGCGCACTGAGGATGCTCTCACAAGAGTCTGGGATCTCCTGCCTGCTCGGGCGCCCGAGTCGGCCATTATTCCAAAGGAGGGCTGGGGAAGGATGAGGTCATCATTGCTGCTCATGTAAGAGTCAGGAGCGAGTTTGCGCTTTCTTTATGTTTGAGAAACGAGGTTTCAGTTTTAGAGGATAGAATTGCCAGTAAACGAAGGAAGAACCTATAGAGGGAGTTTAATCCAACGTGGCTACTCTGGCTGGAATACAGACCTGTCCCTCGAACACACCTTAAATCCTTCTGGCAGGAATCCAGTCACATCCTTAGTACACACCTTTAATTCCAAGCAATGAAGGTAAAGTTCGTTTTTAGAAGGAAGGAAGCATGTTTGAAAGAGACATCAAATTAAGAGACAAAGCGATGAATCAGAGAACTATTTGACAGAATGAGTCAAGGTAGGATATGCCCAACTCTCACCGGAAGAGACAAAAAAAAGATCGTAGGAGAACAGCCCAGAGGGAGAGAGGGAGGAGACAATTTTACCAGGACTGCTGTACAGAGACAGGTTGCAGAGAAAGAGCAAGATGGACACAGGTGGAGACAAGAGCTGGAGAATGAGAAGAAGCCAAAGTTAGTTTAAGGCCAAGTAGAGCAATTCAGTCAGAGGCGAGAGAGAAGCTAGATTGAATCCATCAGCTAGGAAAGGAATTTGAGCCAGAACAGCTGGCTTGAACCAGCCTGCAGGTGTTCAGAAAGAACTGGAGCTTATTCAGCAGTATCTCTCAGAGGCTGAAAACATTCTAGGCCTAGACTAGATTGTATGAAGTCTAGAAGCTTCCAGGACTAGGCCTAGGTTAGCAGATGAAGGCAGGTACTTTTTCAGGAATATGCAAGTATATAACCTCCACCATTGTGGCCCTTGCTTTGTCCCTTCCCACTTAGTATTCACATCACTGTTTCAGTGACCCTTGACATCTCTCTATAATCCCTCCCCCCCCACAAGATAGTATAGATTAGCAACCTCCAGAAGTTAAAATTAGGGCTTTTTTTTTTTTTTTTCATTGTGTACAGTATAGTATTTTGGAATCTTTATCTACTTTGGAGTGACTAAATCTATAACATTTTTGTAGTGAGTACACTTATGGTCTACTCTCTTAGGCTTTTCAAAACTAATCAGAATCACCATGGTGCACGGTATTTCTCTTAAACCTCTGTTATGCAGCTGAAATTTTGTAGTCTTTGATCAGCATATTCCCAACTTTCTTCCTCGTGGATCTGCATCTCCCACTGTCACCCATGAGGCCTCAGGAACTCAAACCCCATTAACCACCATTTTACATCTTCCTCTGAAATAACAGTGTCAGATTCTATATGAGGGAGATTGTGGGCATTTTTGTTTAAAGATTAATTATGTTTCTTCAAAATTATGTGTTTGAGGTTATATGTCCCTGAACACAGGGCCAGGAGAGGTCAAAGGCCTAGATCCACTGCAGCTGCAGTTACAGGCATTGTGAGCTGTCAGGATACTGAGCTCCTGTCCTCTGGAAAGCCACACCAGCCTCTGAGCTGTCTCTCCTGCCCCAGCATTTGTCTTTTTCTGTAGCTTGTTTCCCTTGTTACTGTCCGTGTTCACCACGTTGTAGTAAATGGTTGAATGTTATCCTGTGGTCTGTGAACTGCATTCTGCATGGGCTTTATCCACTCAGCCTTGGTGGAGTTGCGTACCGTGGCTATGTAAACCATGCTGGAAGGAAAGCAGGAGTGTAACTATCTCTGGGAAATGTGTAAATGTGTATGGTGGAGATGGCTCGGTGGGCACAGTGCCAGAAAGCATGCAACTGTGCAAATCCGGATGCACCAGTGCATGTCTGCAATCCCAGCCCTCCTATGGCAGGATGGAGGTGGAGCCAAGAGAGTCCCTGAAAGGCTGGCTAGCCTGGGGAATGCAGGGGCAGGAGAGAGGGAGGATAACAAAAGAAGGAAAATGTGTGAATTTTGTGGGGAGACAAAATGTACAATTTCCTAACATCTCAGATGTGCTCTTGAGAGCTGGGCATGGTGGTGCATGGCTGTAATCTCAGCATGGGAGATGGAGGAAGGAGCATTTGGAGTTCAGAGCCAACCATATACAGGAGACTGTCTCAAAAATCAGCTTAACAAACATTCCCTAAGTGTATTGGGCCAAGGCTGAGACCTGTTGGGCTAGGACACTGGTTCCCCCTTTGGGTGTGGATGCTCCCTGGTGCAATGTCTTAGTGAGTTCTGAGGGCTGTGTGTGCTGCTCAGATCTTGTGAGAAGAGGTTGAATGCCCGTGAATGCAGTGCAGAGCACAAAACAGTCCTTCCACATACCCCAGACAGAGTAATTGTGTCAGCAGTGCTAGACTGAGGAACCCAGTTCCAAACGCAAAAGACCTAGGACACCTGGATTGAATTTTAAATTATTTTGGGTGAAATTTCCCATGACATGGAAGGAGGGTAACAGATCACACTGACCTCCTGTGACTGCATGCTTTAGAGCTAATTATCTTCCTAAAGGATCATGGTTTAGTTGATGCAGTGTAGGCTGGAATCATACATGCACCAGGGCCCTCAGGAAGTGTTCCAAGGTGAGCAGTTCCATTTGCTAAAGTGGGTGCAGAATGCTGCGCAGTGCCTGAGCGTTGCAGCTGCAGCCCTCCAGCCTCGCTGTGCTCCAGCCCTGAGTGTTGAGAGGACTTGCCATTTGGGTGCTGTAACCCCGTCAGCCTTGGTGGGTGGCTTCCAGTAGGAAGATGTCCTCACAGTAGGAGGAGAGGCCCAGTTCTAGGGCTGGCTGCATCTCAGGATGGAAGATGGGATGCCCTCTGCTGGCATCTCCTGGAGGGACATCAAGGCAGACCCGCTTATGCTGGGCACTCGCACACTGACCCCTTGTGCATTGGCTGTCTGGGGTGAGGAGAGGGTCAGCTTCGTGTGACTCCTGTCTGCTTCTAATGTGTGTGAGGGAGGCTGTGAGCAGTGGGAGGGGCAAGTGGGTGGGGATGCTTGAGAGAGAAAAGTAGTGGATGAAATCGTCCTGACATAAGTCAGGCTGGGAACATCGGGTCACAGTCCACCCAAAGGCTTTCTTTCTGTCCCCAGGGGAGGAAGCTGAGGAAGAATGGCCAGCTCTAACTCTCAAGACATAGTCTGTGTAAGTTGGATTTTCTCTATCGACATAGGGTGACTTTCAGGTTAGGTGACTCCCTCCCGTCTTGCTCTGTGAAGCTCCGCAAGGATCTGAAATCCTCCTTCACAGTCTGCTCCTTCACAGTGAGGGCTGGAAGGTCAGGGCACTTCCTGTTTGTGCCTCTTTCCAGCTGGCACCGGGGTTCTCTTGGAATGCATTCCTCCACATCTGTTCTCTGTTTGCTCTGTGCTCAGGGAGGACTGTAGTTTCAGTGGAGGCATCATTCCCACAGGGAAACGGGCTGTGGGGTTCAGAACTGTGAGGTGATGATCTCATGTGACTCATGAAACATGACTGACATTTCCAGTGTTCTCAGGCTGACACAAGGAGTTAGGAAAGACCTAAGACACTGATGAACTTGAAAGTTTTTTTTTTTCCTTGTGTTAGTTTTTTTAGGGGCAAAAAAAAGTTAATATGTCAGTAATATGGACTGGTATATAGTTTATGCACTCTTACATAATTTACAGAAATCATCCTCATGACAATGTCTTTATGATATAATGTGATACCATCATAAACTCAAGGTCTCACAGTATGTCTTAGGCATTCTACACTGAACCGGGTGGCATTTCTCTTTTGTGGTACAGCTTGAAGGATGCGGGTGGATGGAAATGCACATGTTTTGGATGTGTAGGTGGGCACAGTCATGGTTTTGGGGGGAGCTCATGCAGGCAGGTGTCTTGAGCATTTCCATGTGGCTCCTTTCCCACTCTTGAGTCCTTTCCCTGCTGTTTTCCATCTTGAAGGCTTCCCCAGTTTCACTCTGCTTGTGTTTGTGGTTCCAGGGTTCAGTGACATTTAGGGATGTGGCTGTTGACTTCTCTCAGGAGGAGTGGGCCTGCCTGGATGCTCCTCAGAGGGTCTTATACAGGGACATGATGTTGGAGATCTACAGCCACCTCGTCACAGTGGGTAAGGCCGTCTGTCCCCATGAATGGGGGATGTGTCCTCTACACTGTTGGCTTTGCTCACTTTGAGTAAGAAGATAGTACCATCTTTCCAGCAGTAGCTGAAGCTGGTCCTGGTGGCTGATTCCTGTCATTGCTTCACTCAGAAGGCTAAGGCAGGAAGATTGCTATGAGTAATCACCCTCACATACGTGCTGAGTTCCAGGCTGGCTTAGTCTACAGGGTGAGGCCTCGTTTCAGACAAAGCCAAGCAAGCAAATAAATGAAATCAATAAGGAGGTGAATCCATGACTAGAATCGGGCTGGAGAAATAGCTTAGTGGTTGAGAGAACCATTTGCTCTTGTATAGGAGCCAGTTCAGTGCACAGCTCCACAAGGCGGCCCACAACCGTGTCTCCCTCCCGTTCCGGGGATCTGATGCCCTCTTCTTGACTCTGTGGGCCCCATGCGTGCATGTGGTGCTCAGTCATACATGCAGACAGTTCATATACACATAAAATAAATTCAAATCAGTAGAATTGTAAAAGAGGGAGCTGAGTTCCTCCTCCTTCCCAATGGAGTGTTGTGAGATTTGTTGGGTTCAAAATAGGAGCTTCAGCAGAGAATAGTGCCATGCCTTTATTCTCTGTACTTGGAGAGGCAGAGACATACAGATCTCTGTGCATTCGAGGCCAGCCTTGATTACAGTGTGAGTCCAGGACAGCCAAGGCTACACAGAGAAATCCTGTTTCGAAAAACAAAACAAACTAACAAAGTGAAGCACCTGCTTCTCCCACTTCCTCAGAAACTAAAGTTGGGAGCAGTTGACGAAGACGCCTAACACTGGTCTCTGCTGCGCGCGTACTGTGCACTGTGCAGTCAAACTCACGAGTATGCGCAGACACTGTAGATACACAGCTAGGTGGAAGTCCCTGTGACTTACTAGTGAGTCAGAGTTGATTCGAAACGGAAGTGGGTTAATTCTGTTTCCCTCAGGGAAGACTTCCTTTATCTACTTCGTAGTGGACATTTTAGGGTGTGAAGTTTGTCTTTTTTTATTAAGCAAATCTGTAAGAATGAGGTATCAATGTGAAGGAAGGCAGCATAAATAACAATAATAATAACAGTTTTCATGGCTGGGGATGCAACTGAGTGGTAGGACACCTCTCCAGCATGCTCAAGGCCCTACCTCCATCCCCAGCATTTTAAACAAATTAGAAACTTAAACAATAATGATTTCGTATTAGTATCGGTCAGACAGTCTTCAGCGTTTTTGAATATAGTTTTAATCTTAGTATCCACCCTATCCAATATATATTATTAACTCAATCTCAGTTATTTTCTGGTATCTCTACTAATTGTTTTTTCAAGGCTAGATCTCACATAGCACAGGCTGGCTATAGACTTGCTATGAAACAAATTCAGCCTTGAACTTCTCATCTGCCTGATTACACGCTCCAAGTGTTGTGACTGTGTATGTGTGCCACCATGCCCAGTTTTTAGATAGGAAAATTGAGGAGAGAATCTTATGGAACTTGCCTGAATAAAAGGCATTATTAGTGAGCTGCAGAGATGGGGTTTAGACAGTGTAGCCTAAGGGTTCATGTTCTCACCCACTCAATTACCCTTTCCTCTTCAGTGACAAGCCCTTGTCTGCATTTAAATGAGAATAAAACCCTAATCTGAAAGAGCTGACTTTTACCCAGGTTTCCTTTTCCTCCTCCTCTGAAGTCTTTCTTCAGTATTATTTTGGCTCTTAGATCTTTCTGTCTCTTTTTCTTGCTGTGGGGTCCAGGCAGCCTGGCTTATTCCCCCACTTTTGGGCTCACCGGCATGATCTACCATACCAAGCTGTATAGACCTTTTTAATAAGTCTGCACGGACAGGGCATGGTGGCACACGCTCTCCAGGCATTAGGGAGGCAAAGGCAGGCAGATAAAGTAAGTTCAAGACCAGCCTGGTCCACATTTCACATTCCAGGACATCCTGTGATAATTGGTGAGAGTGAATGTAAAAAAAAGTCTACACTATGAGCCATTTTTTTCTCTTTTAAGTGGGAAGTTCGATTTGCAAACCAGATCTGATCACCTTATTGGAGCAGGAGAGAGAGCCCTGGATGGTTGTGAAGGAAGAGACAGACAGGCCGAGCCCAGGTGAGTGAGTGTAAGGTGAGACTCCAGCATTGCCAGGCACAGCATGTGGTCAGAGGCCCCACATAGCTGACCCTGGATTTGACAAACTTCGCTCAAAGCTCCAGGGCCTGTGGAAAACATGCCTGAGCCCTGGAAAAGAAGTCAAGGTCATAGCAAAAGCTGTCAAAGGGGCTTCTGTTTCAGGAATCACTTTTATGTTGTTCTTGTTTTCTTCCCTCTCACTGGAGCAGGTACCCTCCTTCTGTAACTGCTAAAAGTGTTTTATTTGTTGTGTATGTGCACACTTGTGTGGAGGTATCCAAAGAGGCCATAAGAGAGTGTCAGATCCCTGGGGCTGGAGTTATAGGTGGCTGCTGCTACTCTAACCCAGGTCCTCTGGGAGAGCAGTCAGTGCTCTTAACCACTAAACCAATGACAAGACAGCTTGAACACCAGTGAAAGCTGCAGCACAGTGAGGCATACCAAATATTTTAATTCTGAGTCCTCATAGTCACTCTAGAGCAGGTGTGATGGTGTAGCCTATGCTTTTAACCTCAGCACTGGCAGGTGGAAATGGCAGCTCCCTTGGGCTTGCATCAAGTCAGCCTGGTTTACTTGTCAAGCTCCAGGCGAATGAGAGACCCTGACTCAAAAAGGATAGATGGACAAGCCAGGGAAACCACATCTGCACACACACATGCACAACACAGCCTTCTACCCAGCTTGGCAGGGAGCCATGATCGCTCTTCTTGGTTGTCAACTTAACCACATCTGGAATTAACTAGACCCCAAGCCAATCAGTACACCTTGAGAGATTTTTCTGAAATCATTCGAGGTGGGAGGACCCACCTTAAATCTGGGCCACACCTTTTGGTGGCAGCCTGTATAAAGGATGTGAAAGAAGGAAGCTCTTGCTCTTTGTCTGCTTCCCCTCACTCTCCTGGCAAGTCTAGTTTTTCAGTGGCATTAGAGCCTACGTTTGCCATATTCCAGCATGTACTGAAGTCCAGCTGAGACATCAGCCTCATGGACTGAACAACTCCTGAACTCTTGGATTCTGTTCCATTCTTTTAACGGCAAATTTCATTTTTCAATGGCAGAGTAACACTCTATTTTGTAAATGTACCGCATTTTCAGTATGCATTTCCTCCATTGAAGGATATCAAGGTGTTTCTAATTTTTGGCTATTGTAAATAGAGCAGCAATGAACATGTTTGAGCAAGTATCTCTGTAAAAGGATCAAGTGTCCTTGGGTATATGCCCAAGAGTGGTGTATCTGGATCTTGAGTTAAATCAGTTCTCACCTTACTGAGGAAACAACACATGGATTTCCATAGTAGCTGTACAAATTTCCCTGATAGCTAAGGATGATAGCTAAAGATGTTGACTTTTTTTTTTTTTCTGAGACAAGGTTTCTCTCTGTGTAGCACTGGCTGTCTTGGACCTCACCCTGTAGACCAGGCTGGCTTTGAACTCACAGAGATCCTCCTGACTCTGCCTCCCGTGTGCTGGGCTTAAAGATGTGCACCACCACTGCCTGGCTTGAACATTTCTTTAGGTTTTGTCTCAGCCATTTGTGTTTCCTCTTTTAAGAATTCTGTTTAGATCTATACCTCATTTTGTAATTGGGTTAATTGTTTTCTTGATGTGTCGTTTTTTTAGTTCTTTATATATTTTGGATATTAGCCCTCTGGTGGATTTGTAGTTGGTAAAATCTTTTTCAATTCTGTAGGCTGCCGCTTTGTTCAAATGACGGTGTCCTTTGCTGTGCAGAAACTCTTCAGTTTCATAAGGCCCCGTTTATTAATTGTTTATCCTCCATGCCTGTGCCGTGGTATTCTGTTGAGAAAGTCTTTCCCTGTGCTGATGCGTTCTAGTCTACTCCCCACTTTCGTTTCTGTCAGGTTCAGTGTGTCTGGTTTCACGTTGAGATCTGTGATCCATGTGGAGCAGAGTTTTGTGCAGGGTGAAAGCATGGATCAATTTAAATTCTTGTGCATGCACTTGCCCTTTTTTATTGGTCCCATTTGTTGAAGAGGCTGTCTTATTTCCAGTGTGTATTTCTGTCTTCGTTATCAACAATCAGGTGTCCAAAGATGTGTAGATTTATGTCTGGGTCTTTCATTCATTTCCCTTGATCAGTGTGTCTGTTTCTGTGTCAGTACCATACTGGTTTTGTTACTATAGCTCTGTAGTGCAGCTTGAGATTGGGTAATACTTCCCTTACTAGTCAGCTCTTTTTTTTTTTTTTAGGCTATCTTGGTGTGTGTATGTGTGTGTGTATAAGAAAGTTGGCTTTTCATGATGTGTGAAGAATTATATTAGAATTTTGATGCAGCTTGCATTGAATCTGTAGATTGCTCTGGGTAGGATGGATAAGTTTACTGTATGAATTCTACTGATCCATGAGCATGGAAGGTCTTTCCATCTTCCAATATCTTCTTCAGTTTCTTTCTTTAAGTCTTACCTTTTTAATCATAAAAGTCTTTCAGTTTCTTCCTTAGAGTTATCCCATGATACCATATATTAGTTAGAGCTATTGGGAAAGGTGTTGTTTCCCTGATTTCTTTCTCTTTCTCAATCCATTTGTCATTTGTACATAGAAGGGTTACTGATTGTTGTGAGTGAATTTTGTATCTAGCTTCTTTGCTGGAAGTATTTATCAGCTGGAAGAGTCCCTATTGGACTCTTCAGAGTCACTTATGCATATTGTCATATAATCTGCAAATCAAGATACTTTGGCCTTTCTAGTTTTGCATTTGCTTGATCTCCCTTAGTTGTCTTACTCCTCTAGGTAAAACTTCAAGCACTTTATTGAGTAGGTATGGAGAGTTTGGACAACGTTGTCTTTTTTGTTTTGTTTTAAGATTTTAATTATTTATTTTCTGAATTTGAATGCTGTATCTGCATATACACCTGCAGGCCAGAAGAGGGCATCAGATCACATTATAAATGGTTGTGAGCCACCGTGTGGTTGCTGGGAATTGAACTCAGGATCTCTGGAAGAGCGAACAGTGCTCTTAACCACTGAGCCATCTCTCCAGTCTCCCCAACCTTGTCCTTTTTTTTTTTTAGTGTAATTGTTTTGAGTTTCTCTCCATTTATGTTGCTGCTGCCTTTGGGCTTGCTGTATACTGCTTTATTATGTTGCAGTGTGTCTGTCCCTTATATTGTCTGGCTGAATTTTTGAGCTAAAAGCCATGTGGCCCTAGGCCTTTTTTTAGTTTGGGAGACTTTGAATTAGTAATTCTATTTCACTAGGGGTTATAGGACTGTTTAAATAACTTACCTGATTTTCCTTGAAGTTTAGAAAGTTGTATGTATTAGAAAAAAATTACCCATTATCATTAGATTTTCCAGTTTTGTTGAAGTTAAGGCTTTTATTGCATGTTCTAATGATTCTCTGGCTTTCTTACAAGTCTGTTGTTATGTGTAGTGACCAGTTTTGAGAATTCTGAATTTTTTTAATCATAGAAATATTATAAGAATGTGCTTTCCCTTTACTTTCATTTGTAGGGAAATGGGGCTGCTTCTGACTGTCCTTAGCAGCTGACTATGATTTGCCTCGTGCACTGTCAGAAGTGTGCTTTTGCCAGATGCAGATAATTTCTGCAATTGTGTGATGTTTGAAATTCAGAGAGCTTTTCAGAGGATTCATAAATAATAAGGCCCTAAGGGGGCGTGGGGATGGTTGTTGGTCGTTTGGGGAGTTTGGTTGTGGCTTTACTAGTAGCCATGGTCAAAGCAGACAGAAAAGGAAAGAAATTAGATCGTCGATTTTCCTAATTCCTCTCACCCCTCTGTCCTTGTTACTCTTCTGTCTAGTGTTAGGGGGTGAAATGAAGGGGGGATAAAGGGTGGGAAAAGTAAGAACCCACAAAGTAGCAAAGACAGGCTACAGTTATGGCCTTTCATCTCTAATTTTGTTAATTTGGATCTTTTCTTTCTGCCTTTTTAGTTAATTTGACTAAGGGTTTGCCAGTCTTACTGGTTTTCTCCAAGAACCAATTTTTTGTTTCATTGATTTTTTTGTGTCTTTTTTTTCCTTTGTTTCTGTTTTATTGATTTCAACCCTGAATGTGATTACTTTTTGCAGTTTATTTGTTTTGGGTATAATTTCATCTTTTTGTCCTAGATCTTTGTTCTGGTGTTACATTGCCAGAGTGAGATCTCTTCCAATATTTGTTATGGAGGTACATAGTGCTAGGGACTTGTCTCTTAGAACCACCTTCAGCGTGTCCCCTAAGTTTAGATGTGTTGTGTCTTCATTTTCCTTCAATTCTAGGAAGTCTTTATTTTCTCTCTTAATCTCTGTCTTGACCCAGTTTTTATTCGGTACTGTGTTGTTCAGTTTCTGTGAGTTGGTAGCTTTCTGTTTTTCTGCTGTTATTGATATCCAGCTTTAATCCATGCCGGTTAGATAGCTTTCAGGATGTTATTTGACTTTTCTTGTATTTGTTGAGACTTGTTTTATGTCCATGTATGTGGTCAGTTTTGAAGGAAGTTTGTTGAGATACTGAGAAGAAGGTATTGTTTTTTTGTGTTTGTATTACATGTTCTGTAAATATCTATTAGATCGATTTGGTATATGATGTTAGTCAGCTTCAGCATTTTTCTGATTAGATTTTGTCTGGATGACCTATCTATTGGTGAGAGTGGGATATTGCAAGCTCCCACGATCACTGTGTGAGGGGAAATTTGTGATTTAAGATGTAGTTGGTTTATTTTTTTAACTTTACTAAATTAGGTGCCCTATGTTTGGTGCATAGATGTTGGTGGATTTTTCTTTGATGAGCATGTAATGTCCATTCCTAATCTTTCACTTAGTTTTGGTTTGAAGTCTATTTTTGTCACACATTAAAATGGCTACTCCAGCTTGTCTCTTAGGTCTATTTGCTCAGAATTGGAAGATTACAGTGTGTTTATTGGTGCAGCAGAAGGATGGATCCAGGTTTCATATACATTCTATTAGTTTGTGTCTTTTTGGTTTGTTTGTTTTTTGTTTTTTTGAGGTACTGTTTCTCTGTGTAGCCCTGGCTGTCCTGGGAGCCCCTCTGTAGACCAGGCTGACCTTGAAACTCACAGAGATTCGCCTGCCTCTTCGTGCCCCAAGTGCTGGGATTAAAGGTGTGCTCTACCACTGCCTAGCAGGATTGTTTGTTTCTGTGATTTTGTTAAAAATATTTTCTGTGTCTTTGACCTGGGCTTTTTCTCTTTCCTCTATTCCTACATTTGCTCTTTTTATTTTGTTCCACATTTCCTGGATGATTTGTGCAGAAATATTTTGTGATTTACCATTTCCTTTGAGTGAGGTATTCATTTCTTCTGTTGTGTCGTCAGTGCCCTGGATTCTCTCTTGTTCTTGTATTTTTTGGTGAGGCTTGCCTCTGATGTTCCTGTTCAAGTACCCAAGCTTTTCTGTTTCTAGAATTATCTCAGTTTTGGTTTTCTTTATTGATTCTATTTCTGCTTTCAGGTCTTGGCCTGTTTTATTTCCTTCTACTGTTTGTGTTTTCCTAGATGTCTAAGGGATTTCTTATTCTTTTATCACTTTTGTCTGAATGTTTTTCTGTGCTTCAGCTGTGTTGTAATACTCAGGGCCTGCTGTGGCAGGGTTGCTGGGCTTTAGTGTACATGTACCGTCCTACCTTTTATTGTGTTTTTGACATTTAGGCATCTGTGTTTGGGAAGAATATAATTTTAAGTGCTGATAACTGGTTTTATCTTTGGTTGGTGGATTTTTTGTTCCTTGGTTTCTATTGCCCTCTCTGTTTCATAGGAGAGTTATGGTAGCTATGTGTTGCTTGGTAGGACATTTTTGTGGGATCCTGATCTGTGTAGCCATGGGGATCTGTAGGTAAAATGTGTTTCTTAGCCATTAGAACTGTTTGACCCTATGGACTTCAGTGAGAAATATTAAAAAACCAGCAGAGGCTGAGAAAGGGAGGGTGATCAGAGTAAGAAGAAGGTCCTTGGTGCAGAGTTGGGCTGGTAGAATGAGGGGAGAAGACAGTTGGCCCAGAAGATATTGTTAGGAGACAGATGAGCCAGGAGAAGCCACGCTGAGCAGATAAGACTACAACAGTTGCTACAGTTTGGAGCTCCTAGTATTGGGAAAATTTTAGAAGGGGCTGTTTAAGCAGACTGTAGAGGAGCCTTTGGGAGAAAGGTTTGAAGGGGCTGGCCTGGAAAGTGGGAGGAATGGTTGGGAAAGAAATTAGATTCATTGATCTCTCTCCCTCCCTTCCTCTCTCCTTCTTTCTTTCCCTCTCCCTCCTAACCCCCCTCCTTCGTCTATCCTTCTTTCTGTCCTATCTACTGTTAGGGGGTGAAACCAGGGTTGGAAAGGGTGAGAAAAAGAACTCACAAAGGTAGCAAAGACCAGCTGCATTCGGGAGAGCAATAGATTGTCTCAGAGTGGAGACATGAGAGAGAGAGAGAGATGCAGAGGGCAGAGAGGGACAGACAGAATGAACAAGACAGTTATTGAGAGGGAGGGAGGAAGTAAGGGGGAGAGAAGAGAGATAGAGATCAGGGGTGGCTGGGGACTTATATGCCCTGCACCTGGTTCATCTGGTGGCTGTGGGTAATGACATAAGCTGTTTTAGTTAGGTCCCTGGGAGTAGTCTGATGGAAATGTCTGATTTCTAACAGTGTGTATTTCAAATAAACATTAAAATTACTTCAGTGCAATTATAATCTCATAAAGTAGACATGTGTAGCTAGACCTTTGGCTACTTGTTGGGTTCATTTTTCTAATACCCTTCTCCACCTTTATTCCACCCTTCCAACCCCACAACACTAGGTAGGAGAGAAAGAAGGCTAGAGGGGAAAGGGGTCATTAGACTGCTTCCTGCTGATTAGGGCTGTTGAGTATCTTGGGGCAAGTTCGATATTGGCTTTTAGAATATCCAATTTCTTCTAGTCACTGTGCACAACTGCTTAACAAACATAAACAACAGCAACCAGTAGCAGCAGGAGCAGCAGCAGCACAGTCCCTCTTGGGGCTCTAGCATTTACACACCTTTTCAAGATTCCCCAGAATTCCAAATGTCATACACTTGCAAAAACTATCTGCAGCTGGCAAAATCATACCTCTACCAGAGCAAGAAGCAACTCATAGTCTGCTGCTGTGGACTCTCTGAAGTAACCATATATCCAATACCTGGGATTAGAAACATATGCCAGTTGTGGTGGCACATGCCTTTAATCCCAGAAGAAGCAGGCAGAATTATGTGAGTTTGAGACCAGCTTGATCTACAGAATGAGTCCAGGACAGCTTGAGCTATTACACAGAGAAACCCTGGCTTGAGAAACCAAAACAAACAAACAAACAAAGAAAAAATCCCATAACATTTCTGTGTTTTTACAGAAACCAAATAAATGAAAATTCTTATTGCAGACATGTCTTATTTCCAACCTGTCCTACTGTAAAGAATACTATCTTACATAAACTTCCCTTATTACTGCGTTCCTTGCTCCCATTCAGCTTTTCAGAAACTACTTTAGACTCTGGTCATTCATTTAATGGATTTTATGTTACAGGAAAATGTATGTATGTGTGTTACTACAAAAATAAAGTTTTCCTGCTTTCTCTTTTTTCTTTCAGATTTGGAGATAGATTATGATGTTGAAAATATAGCTCCAGAAAATCATATTTATAATAGAAATTTACCCAAACAGAGCCTAAAACTATTAAGTAAAACTTATGACCTCCAGGGCTCTAGTTTTAGTAATTCCTCCAACTGTGATTCCTTCAAGGGACTACAGGGTAATGAAGAAGGAGCTGCTGATCCAAAGATATGTTACAAGGAACAAATGCCTATTCACACCTTCCAGACTCTTCCTACCAATATAGAAAAAGCGTACGAATGTAATAAATGTGGGAGGTACTTTGGGTGTAGTTCAATGCTTAGTCAGCATCAAAGTATTCATTCTGGAGAGAAGCCCTATGAATGTGAGGAATGTGGGAAGGCCTTCAAGCGTTTCTCCAACCTAGTTGGTCATAGGATTATGCATGCTGATGTGAAACCATATGAATGTAATGAGTGTGGGAAAGCCTTTAAACGTCGCTCAAACCTACTGCAGCATCAGAAAATTCATTCTGGTGAAAAACCCTTTCAGTGTAAGGAATGTGGAAAGGCCTTTATTGCTCTGGCACAGCTCACTCGTCACCAGAACATTCATACTGGAGAGAAGTTATTTAAATGTATGGAATGTGGGAAGGCCTTCAGACTCCCCCAACAGCTTACAAGACATCAGAAATCTCACAGTGGTGAGAAACCTTTCAAATGTGATGAATGTGGAAAGGCTTTTCATCTTCCGGAGCTGCTTAAGTATCATAAAACCATTCATACAGGTATAAAACCATTTGAATGCAAGGAATGTGGGAAGTCCTTCAATCGGTTCTCCAACCTTGTTGAACATAGGATTATTCATGCTGATGTGAAACCATATGAATGTAATGAGTGTGGGAAAGCCTTTAAACGTCGCAAAAGCTTCATGCAACATCAGAAAATTCATTCTGGTGAGAGACCCTTTCAGTGTAAGGAATGTGGAAAAGCCTTCATTGTTCTGGCTCAGCTCACTCGGCACCAGAACATTCATACTGGAGAGAAGTCATTTGAATGTAAGGAATGTGGCAAGAAATTTAGTACTGGCTCACATCTTGTTCAGCACCAGAGTATTCATTCTGGTGAGAAACCCTTTGAATGTGATATATGTGGGAAGGCTTTTAGGCTTCAGGCATGCCTTTCTGAGCATCAGAAAACTCACATTGAAGAGAAACCTTACAAGTGTAAGCTGTGTGGTTCAGCCTTCAGACGTAAGTACCAACTTAGTGAACATCACAGAATTCATACTGATGAGAAACCCTATCAGTGCAAGGAATGTGGGGAGTTATTTCGTCGAAGGTCAAATTTTACTGAACATCTGAGTATTCACAGTGGAAAGAAACCCTTTGAGTGTAAAGAATGTGGGAAGTTGTATAGACTTAATAAACTTCTCATTCGTCATCAGAAATCTCACAATGGTGAGAGGCCTTTTGAATGTAAAGACTGTGGAAAGGCTTTTCATCTTCCCAGTGAGCTTAATAACCATAAAATTGTTCATACGAGTAAAAAACCCTTTGAATGTGAGGTATGTGGGAAGTCCTTCAAGCGTGATTCTGGCCTTGTTCAACATAGGATTATTCATGCTGGTGTGAGACCATATGAATGTAAAGAGTGTGGGAAAACTTTTATTCATCGCTCAAACCTGTTGCACCATCACAAACTCCATTCTAGTGACAAACCTTTTCAGTGTAAGGAATGTGGAAAGGCCTTCGTTGTTCTGGCATACCTCACTCGACATCAGAGTGTTCATACTGGAGGGAAATCATTTGAATGTGAACAGTGTGGATCAGCCTTCAGACTTAAGTCCCAACTCAATAATCATCAGAGAATTCATACTGACGTGAAACTTTTTCAGTGCATGGAAGGTGGAGAGGATGTTGTTCATGAAACAGACCTTAGAATTCAACAGAGAATCCATACTGGTGAGAATCCCTTTCAATGTAAGGAATATGGAGAAGCTCTTCAATATCATTACCCATTTTCTTGGACATTTTAGAATTTGCTGGCAAAAATCCTTATGAATGTAAAGAATGTGGGAAATACTTCTCTCATGATAAAGACCTTAATGTATATCACAGAATTCATACTGGTTTAAAAAAAAAAAAAACGTTACCGATGTTAAGAATATGGGAAGAACTTTAGTTAGTATGAAACTTTATTTGACATGCTAAATTTAATGTTAATAAGTCTTATGTAAGGAATATGGAAAGGCCTTCAGTAATTTTCACCTAGATGTCTATCAGAGAAATCCTACTGGTGAGAAAGTCTGTGGATATAAGTAAGGTGGGAAAAAGTTTAGATTTAGTTCAGCCTTTACTGCACAGTGGAAAACTCATACTGGTAGGAAGGCCCATCACAGTAAGAATGTAGAATGACCTTTAGTTGAAGCACAGGCCTTCAACATAAAAGAATCCATGCTGGTGTCAAACACTGTGAATGCAGGAAATGTGGGAACATTCATAGAGTTAGCTCAGTTTTTAAAGATCAGAGAGTCCATATAGGTCTGAAACCCTGTGACTGACAAATCAGGAAAAGCTGTTATTGTAAATTATGAGCTTACACAACATCAGAAAAATCCATAATCACCAGAAGTCCTATGTATGTAATGAAGGTGGACAAGTCATTGCATGAAGCTTTACTGAACATCAGAGAACTCATATTGGGAAGACTGTGGCTAAAAAGAATGTGGAAACTTTAATCTGCCCTAGGATTTAGTCAACACCAGAGTATTCATATACTGTTGATGCCAAGAAACCCTTTGGAATGAAAATATGGGAAGTCAGTTGTTCAGAAAAGATAACTTTGTTAAGAATGTCTTTGAATGTCAGAATACAGGGTAGCAATCACGTTCTTGATTTACTCTCATCTTGTACAAACTTAATTCATCAATCAATAGCCACCCAGGACAGTCAACTTAGAACAGATATTGGAATTAGGTTTGTCTGAGATGCTTTCCTTGTCACCATTAACATCTTGTGGCTCCTGTGATATTAGGCTGGATGTTTACTTTCTTTTTGCATAATTTGTTAATGGCCAGCACAATACCAGCCAAAGTTGTGGTAACAGGGTTATAACATAATAAACTCCTTGACAGTATGTGGTCAATGCCCATGTTCTGTAAAATAGCTTTTACATTTTTCTTTTTATCAGTATTGGTAAAAGTGACATGAAAACTACATAGTTTAGGAAAGTCTCATACATTCACCTAGTGTTAAATTTTAAATAACTTCATTCTGAATACATCAAATGGATGAAAATGAACATGAAAGGATTTGAATTTTGAGTCCATTCGTTAAGTATTTGAGTGGAAAGTTTTAAAAACACAGTCATTGATGAATACCTTTTAAAGGGGTGAACCCCACAAAAATTTTAAAGAATAAAATCTTATTATTTATGCCTTCTGCCAACACTTGAAGATAAACTATACATTTGTGATAAGGCAAGTAAGTCCACAGGATCCTCCATCTTTTATTCTTGCTGAGGCCATTTCAGGCTTGATTTTCTTGTTGGAGACTTGTGGAAAATTACACAACCCTGTTCTGAGAACTGGAGGTCAAATTGCCTCTGGTAATTTATCTTGGCATCTGTTAAATGGCCTGTGTGTTTAAACCTCCGCCTCCAACTAATTGCTTATTTTGGCTTCTGTTAAACTGCTGGCTTGAGCAAAAGCAGGTAACAGGATTTGGGTTTTGCCATAAATGCTTGGGGTTATATTGAGTCCCAGGTACCTAAATATACTCTCAGTTGGCTAGATTAAAGATTTGCACTGTGTCTGAGTGGTCTTTTCTGGTGGGCTTCCTGTAACAACAGGAACAGAAACGGCCAAATTGAAACCACTTATAAAAATACACATGTGAAAACTTGGAATAGTCAACAACACACTTTTGGATCCTCACTTAAGATTCAAAATTGTTAACAATTTACAATGTTTGTCCTATTTTTTTTTCTGTTTATATAGATATTTGGGTCTATACCACTAATAGTATGTTTTAGAGTTGGGTGTGGTAGTATGTGCCTGAATCCTACTAATTGTAAGGCTGAGGCAGGAGGATCAAGAGTTGGAAGCATGCCTAGCTATATACTGAGCTATAAGTCCAGATTTGGCAGTATGGAGACATTTTATAAAAAACAACAACAAAAACTGTAGACATGACATTTTATCCCTTGCTATATCAGCCAAGATAGTTATCTGTAACACAGAACCATAAACATTCTTAAAGAAATGATCCAGAATTTTATGACATTCAGAAATTTGTCATTGGCCTCCAAACTGTCTTTTTTTCCAAATGTACATATCCCGAGGATACTAAAATGTAGATAGAGATTTGGCTTGCTCTGTTCTTTATTGTGTTGATTTAACCTAGGGCTTGTGCACAGTAGAAATGTACTCAGTTATCCAGCTCCATTTCCAGCCCTTAGCCATCTTCTATCTAAGGGAAATTAGGATGGAATATTTTGGGTAAGAATACATTGTACATTATATGTCTTGTTGCAGCATGTCCACAAACATTTATGTGAAATTAAGGTTGGTCATTTGGGTAAGCTGGTGGCTGCTAGAGTTGCATTAAAATGTTTAGTTTGTTGTGGATAAGTAGTCTATGTCGAGAAACTATTACTTTCAAACATAGGTATGTATAGTTTAGCCTTGGTTAGATATGAATAAAAGTTGAAATCAACTTCTAAATGGATGGCATGATGTTGTGTGGTGTTACTTGAATAATAGTTCAGCTTGGGTAGTATAACTGGTGCTGTGCTCAGTCAGAACTCCCCTCCTTTCTTGGTTTATATCTTTTCATCAAGTGACCTGTGTAACTGGAAAACTCAAAACCTACCATTCTGTGAAAAGAGGAGAGAAAGTACTCCTAAGCTGTGCCGGTTGGATGTGAGTGTCCTGGGTACGCTGCTGGGTAATGAAGCCAGGATAGAATGGATTCTCCCTTTTGTTTGACACTGATGGAGGCAATTTTCTCTAAACCCTCTTTAGAAGAATTAAGGACAGTTGCCAAACAGATTCCCTTTTGCATCCAATCAACCCTGTTTAAAAAAAAAAAAAAAAGTTATAAAACTTAGATGGATTTAAAGGTATAAAGAGTTTTCAGTTTCTGGGGGTAGCTCAAAAGATAACAAAGAAGCTGGTTGAGAGACAAGAACTTTTGGAGAGACAAGAACTTTTGGACAAACTGAAAGCCGCCATCCCTTTCTCTATTGATGAGATAACAGAGTACAGATACCCAGGGAAAAAAAATTGGACATCTTGCTCCCTCTCAGAAGAATATCTCTCAACTGAAAGTTCTGATCACAATCAAAAGATACATCTTTCAGATTGACAACAAAGATTCCCAGGGCTGATCAAACACTAAGCTCAACTCACCAGTTCAACTGCTTCTAACCAGATTAAACAATACCCATGACCCTGGAAACCAACAGGAAAAATGCAGTTCATGTTACAGAGACAGACTTGAAACCTGGGACCCCTGATTATAGACTTGTCAAAAATCTGAGAAAAATAAGAGAGTAAAGACCGTCCAATCCATGGTCCCAAATACTTACACTCCCCTGAGTCTGATATCCGGAAAAACAGGCATACATTGTCTAAAAGATGCATTTTCAGCCTCCCATAGGCAGGGCTGAGTCTATTTATCTTTGCTTTTGAATGGGCAGATGCAAAGGGAGGTGACGGAGGGCAACTTAACTGGACCAGGTTGTTTCAAAGATTTTTTTTTTTTTAATTTCAACCCCCTAAGACGAGATACTAAGTGGTGACCTCTTGCCCTTCCATCAGTGATTTCCCAGGACCGTGTTCTTACAATATGAAGATGACCTTCTCCTAGCCTCTAAAACTAACAAAGATTGTAAAGGGCCACTGCGGGGCTCCTGCAGGAGTTACAGAGCTTGGGCTAGCACAGAAAGCCCTACGTTGTACATCAGGGACTTCCTGATGAGGGGAGGCAATAGGAACCTTTCTCAGTAGGATTGCTGCCACCATACAGATCCCAACACTAAAGACCAAGAGAGAGACTTAAGGGTTCCCAGGTTCATCTATGTATTTGACTCAGGATGTCCCAGGGTTTGTAGAAATAGCAATATGTTTATACACCAGAACAAATCAGACACCGAGTGCCTAATTAGGCTCCAGCCCTAGCACTTTCTGACACCTTAAAACCTTTTCATCTGTTTGCTCGTGGAACAAAATTTAAAAAAGGGGGGGGGGAGTATCCCAACCCTTGGGGCAATGGAAAAGCTCTATAACATACTTGCCCAAACAGTTGGACCCTGTAACCAACAGGATGACCCACTTGTCTAAGAGCTATGGTGGAAACTGCTAGTCTAATGAAAGAAAGCAAACAAGTTAACCCTGGGCACCCCAACTGGTTGAGGCCCCCCTCTGAGGAACACCAGAATGTTTGCTGTCTAATGCCTGTGTGACCCAGTACCAGGCCTTACTCTTGGACTATTTGAGAACCCAGGGCCATCATCCTGCTACCCTCTTTCCTAATGATGACCAATGGATGCTCATCCAGGACTGTCTCCAGATGACATCCCCTGAAAGATATCAATGCAGTGTCTATGTGGGTGGGAGCAGCTTCATTAAAGATGAAACCTGATATGTGGATTTTTCAGTAGTTACTTTAACTGAAATGATTAGGGCGCAAGCCTTAGGCCAGGTACCTCAGCCTAGAAAACAGAGGTTATCTATCTGGCCCAAACTCTCAGCTGAGGAGAAGAAAAGTTCACCACCATGTAGACAGCTGAGTACCCACTACCACGCACATCCGTGACATGTAGAGAGAAAGGGCTTCTCAGTGCAGCAGGAGAAGGATGTTAAAACCAAGGAGAAAATCTTGACCCTCCTATAGACTATTTGGGTGCCCCTTCGAAGTACCCTGTTTCACTGCCAAGGACACCAGAAAAAAAAATTCTGGTCTGTGGGGGAGCCACAGTTCTGCCTCCTGTCCAGGAAGCTGAGAGATCCTCATTCGTATTTTTCACTCTTGAAAGGGCCACCACTTAGTTAAACATTGCCAGCCAGTAACCAGCCAGGATTGCGAGTTATGCTTAGAGCCTTTATCCCTGTTCTACATACATATATGACCCA